AAAAAAATGTACCCATATTGTCGAAACCGGACGAAAACCGGCGGTTAACCCACGGTTATTTTAAGAACCGACGGTTAACCGCGATTATTTCAGCTGCCGTCGCACCGTGCGTTTTTTCGGTTAATTGTGAGGTTAACCGTCGGGTTTTCTGCTGAAATAACCGTGGTTAACCGCTGGTTTTTGTCTGGTTTCGAAAACATGGGTATAGCTGCTGTGGAGATCATTGTTAGATAAAAATTAGTAATTACTAAGCGCTTTCGATCCTACTTTTCGATGCAGATCATACAAATTATACGTGTATGTCATTGACATGTTCATTGTTCTGTAAAGTATTTGTTTCATACATTTAAACAGTATGGATATGGATGTGGGTTGATATAATAGAGAGTAGCGTAAATATTCAGTATTATATTCATGCTTCTAATCTGAACATATGAAACAAATATTTTCTACAGGTATGCGACATAACCTAGTTTTTGTCGTATATTGTTATGTATAGTTAAAACAAGTGTACAATCCGTTCTAAAACTATGGTTGTGACCATTTTCTGAATATCATGAGGACTAAAGGCGATGGATGCCTGCGGTTTTGAGTATTGTAACTGTTAGAGTGCAATGTTAGTTAAATTCGCAAAGGATTATCATGCAGAAGGAACTATCACTTGAAAAGTATATTTTGTTTGGACTTCGATAAACTTTTATAATATTGATGTAAAATAAGATGTTTTCAGGTATATGCAGCAGCACTTTTTGTCTTGTTTAGTCAGTTTAAAAAAACGGCATTTTACAATTAATGTAGATAAGCAACAAGCGGAAGCGGAAAGTATGCAAAGCTTATTTATATAGTTTTTTGTTAGTTTGGTCGATTTGAGGACGTAATGTAATACGCTGGTAGTATTTAAATAGGATGCCATGTTTCTTAATATTTGTTTCTGTTCTGCATGCTGTTCTCTATTTTAACTCCAACTCCGGATGCTATAATGGATTTTCAATTTTAAACTTTTTCCCCAGTGCTGTTCGATAAAATTCTTCCTTGTAAAATGTTCATTGGTCGAATACATAGTAGAAATGTTATTACTTGAGGCATGTATGAGAGAAAATAGGCCAGTATTATTGAGTAACGTCGCCAGTCCTTTTCCAACTCTGTACAGGCTAAGCTAAATGAAATAATGGCCTGAGGCAATGCGCTCAACATAATTATCATCAGCGGTGTGAATAAGTCTTTGGGCTTTCGAAATTGTTCACAGAACAATATCAGACCTGTTTTATTCTTTTTGCCTCGACGGTATGTTATCATCAAAATTAGTTTGACTGCGCAGAAAAGATTAATAAAAAACGGTGCCAAGTAATGAGCTAACGTGTTTATTTGATCATAAGTGGATACAGCAGTAGTTATCCGGGGCACACACCAGGTACCTCAGATAAATGAGAGAGAATGTTATCTAGAGATTTTGTTTATACTTCTTCATTCTTCGACAAATGTCCCAAAATTTAGCACTAAGAATATCAATGTAAAGTGAATAAACAGAGTAATAAATTTCAATTGTTGGGGCATAAGGCAATCAGGCGTATCAGAGAAATCTCTGTAAAACCGATAAACCACTCGTATATTTGTTTTCATACGGTTTCTGAGCTCTAAAAATCTATCTGAAGTCCGAATCAAAATACAGCAAACCTCTAAGTTTTTTCTATTCGATGGTGTCTTGAAAACGATTTCATTTCATTCCTCTGTTTTGCAGCCTCCATTCCAGAGGTGTTCAAAACCTTTTTAAAAATATTTTTAATGAACTTAAAAGTCCAGTAGGGTAGTTGATCCAAAATTTTGTTTTCAAAATGGAGCCCAGACTAAGCATGCACCGGTTTCAATTAATTTCCTAATATGGAATTAGAATTTGTCAGAGCTGAATGGGTACTCAGAGCAATAATTTTTCAAGTGGTGAGATTCCCAAAAGTCCAGTGCCAGTTCCACAGACTGGAACTGGAATTGAAAAAGTTGAAATTGTACATACCTAGCTCAGACAATAATATATCTTTGCCAAAACAAAGGAATAAACGCTGTTTTGGGTACGATAAGATATTTTAAATAAAGTAAAATCAATTTCTGAATATTTTTGACATAATAAATGCATACATTTTCTTAATTTTGTTACACAAGCCTTCGCTGTAATGAAAAACTTCAAATATATGGTGCTCGAAAACAGCGAAAGTGTGTAATGAAAAGGTCAAACAAATATATTTGAACACAAAAATTGTAACTGAAGTTGCAGAACAGTTTTCCGATGCCTTCTGTTCTAAGATTTTCGTGGCCTTCGAAACATTTCCGATCAAACACTTTTATGTATTTTGCACCAGACACTTGGCTCTTTGTGTCTCTACGATGTTTCTGTAAAATACTATAGCAAAAATAAAACTATATCAGAACTTTCGCAACATCGGTTAGAGTGAATATTTCAGCCAACATATCAAGAAAAGAAGTATAGAACTGATAAGAGAAAATATGATAAAATAGCTACACGAAACTCCCGCTGCGAAAGGGATACTTGGGTTACCCCTCTAGAGTTGACTTTTGTGAATAATTTGATTTTGTGCTTTTTGTTGACGACAATTCCGCGCGTGGTCTTTTTGCCGCAGGGGTAATTCGTCGCAGAAAGTGAAAAGATTTTCTTGTGTCTCTCCTGAGTTCTCGTGATCTCGGATAAAAAAAGGAGAAAACAAAGAGATATTTTGTGCATTTTTTCTCATTAACTGCAGTGTCATTGAGTAATTATGGTCAGGTCTCAAAAACTTCGTCAGATTTCTGGCATAGCTCGAAAGAAAATGGTATCTATCAGGTAGATGAATCTGACTGTTTCCTATTGAATGGTGCAAATGTTTCAGAAATTCATTAGTGTTTTCATCAGTGTGGCAAAAGCATTCCCATGTTCCCGTTGTTGAACTATTGTTACTGTTATGTTTCCAAACTGTCACGCCTCGATTACATATCCAACCTTCTTCACAGCTTTTGTGAGTATGTTCTTGACGTGATCCGATCGTCGTATCACCTACAGAAATCAGACACGAAACACTTACTTCTGATTTGATACATTTTGTTTTTCTGATAGCTGTGCAAACGTACAAGCCAGAGTCGGGCACGAAGAAAGCTTTGCATACCTCACCTCGAGAGCAGTCAGTCTCGACTAAACTAAACATTTTAAAAGATTGCATTACCGCTGGTTGAATAAAAAAATTCGCTTCTATCTCGTTCTGGTCGAGGTGAGGCGTCTTAAGTAGCCTTTGCCTCTTTTTCAAGCGTTTATAAATGCGTACTTGTTGCAAGTAATTTTCCGTCGGATACTTGCTCTTGTGGGATACTGTCTAGTTCTGTCTGTATCACAGGGATAATTTTGCATTGTTGGCGTATAATTAAATTTATATGAACTCGCGTAACTTCGATATTTATCTAATGATGAAAATGGTTCCGTTTGGCAATACTATTCATCTTAGCCAAATTCTTCACAATCGATTTTTCCATTACACTTTGCGTTTGGTATACATGCGCTGCATAATTATTCCAGTGGTGCACGTTTACTGATGATAATTGCCCTGGGTGGAGTAATTATGACCAATCGAAAGGTGCTCGTAAGAAATTACATGCATTAAACACTAATGAATTTCTGAAACATTTACACCATTCAATAGGAAACAGTCAGATTCATCTACCTGATAGATACCATTTTCTTTCGAGCTATGCCAGAAATCTGACGAAGTTTTTGAGACCTGACCATAATTACTCAATGACACTGCAGTTAATGAGAAAAAATGCACAAAATATCTCTTTGTTTTCTCCTTTTTTTATCCGAGATCACGAGAACTCAGGAGAGACACAAGAAAATCTTTTCACTTTCTGCGACGAATTACCCCTGCGGCAAAAAGACCACGCGCGGAATTGTCGTCAACAAAAAGCACAAAATCAAATTATTCACAAAAGTCAACTCTAGAGGGGTAACCCAAGTATCCCTTTCGCAGCGGGAGTTTCGTGTAGCTATTTTATCATATTTTCTCTCTCAGTTCCTCTTGCCGTTAGTTACTTTCATAATGCATGTAAAAGTGGTAATAGATCAGTTTTCTTTTAGTTATATGACAAAGAGTCGATGTTAGTGAAATCCTCTTGAATCATATAAATAAAGAACGAAAAATACAATTATTCATTCCTAAACACTCATTTTCCCCTGTTTAAATGAGAAAACCGTGAAATTCGACTGTAGCAGAATGAAGTTTTTTCATCCACTTGATATTTTCTGTTGTATGAAATGTCGAAAATAAATTTATTTTTGCTGTGAAAGAAACGCATATCTATCCACATGATAATCTTATTTAATTAAAAATTATGTTAAATATGATCAGCAGTTAACAGGCTTTATCTGATATGTTATCTCTGTTGTTCTAGTTTAACAAAAACAAAAAAGACATCGGTGCGTCAAAAATCTGTGAAAGTGGCGATATACCTAACAGATTCAAAACTACTCGATTTTTTTACAATAACAAATATAGCTCAATGGGCATTTTAACGATTGTCAATTTGAAACAGAATGGCCATCAAGTCCAATTCATATTTCGCCAGTTATACTATCAAATATTCTTTATATTTATTCTGCTTTTAAGCCAAGCGTCACCAGTCTCTTTTCCATCTATAATAACACTCGTTTACTTCTGTTTCTCACTTATTCGATCAGTTGTTATGTTTTCACGTTAGCTCAAGGTTATACCGACAAAAATTGTTCAAAATATTGAAGAAACTCTATTTTCGTTTCAACTGTAGTCAAGAAAAATTGTCACGATCAATAACAGCAATAATGACCAGAATGTTGTCGGATCAATAGGGTATCGTCGCTAAATACTGATTCTTCCTCACAATACAATAGAAAATTTTATTCTGTTTTTAATTATTCAGATAAATAGCCGAAGATTGTATCCGTAAATAATTCCACAAAGAAGTCTTTTTTGCAGTATTTTGTCTTAGTCCTATTTGCTACGTTTTTGCAATCTCTGGTCGCTTCCATGTATTTTGATGTATATCTTCAATTCTTCGAAAGTTTTAATATGTTTCAATTTATCAAATTCTAACATATTCCGATTTTTTTGTTGCATAAAATTTCTAACACACTCAGATATTTGTTGTTGTTTTCTCGGATCATTTTTCGCAAAATATCTCGTCGTTCCGTCTCGTCGTCGTACTTTCAAGTCGTTATCGGGTGCTTCAGTTTCTGTTATAACGTCATCGATTTCTATTGATGGACCATTATAGGGGTAGTTTGATTGATGTCGATCTGATGAGGTTATAATCATCCCGAAACCCATGCGTTTCGACAAACTTAAATAATAATTATTTGCTTCATGCGTTTGTGATGATGGTATACCAAATGTACAATTAGTGAGTTGTAGATTTTTCGTTGGAATTTTTCCAAAAGGACCATTATTTATCCACAAAAGGGCGTTACTGCAGAAGTAATTGTGGCCAAAACCAAAAGGAGAAGATCTTTTGAAATACTGTCGAGCGAACGCTTCTGGATTTTCACGTATATCGTCCGGTAATGGAAAGATGGCATCATTAATATCACCAGTCAAAGTAAATGGCGGTATATTTTGTTTTGTAACATTCGGTATCTTTTTCAACCATCGTTTGTAACACAATAGAAATGTGTCCAGAGAATATTGTATTTCAACATTTTCCTGTTTGTCTAGAAAAAAACATCAGGATAGCTTAAAAAAATCAAGTATCTCACTGCGCAAAAAACGTACATGTCCGTTTTCTCCGCGCTGAATAATTAGCATCTTTTTGATAACGCTTGTGAACTTCGCTCGCTGTTTCTTCAGCTTCAGCTTGTTTTTCATTAATTACAATCTGTATTTTTTCAGTTGCATTTCTAATATCATCTTCGGATATTTTGCCTTTCTCCATTAATTTTTGAACTCTTTTTTCATAGGCACGCTTTCGTTTTCGTTCTATTTGTTGATCATCCGAGGCTTGGGAATCATCAGTACGATTGCCGGTTTGTTGCAATAAAGTGACGTAGCCAGGCCTTGTATACTGTAACTAAAACCAAGACAGTAGATAAGTTTATAAACGTGTTTCAAAGTTTAAAAATAGTCACTTTACCTACCACTTTTGATAGTAGTTTATCGTACTCTAAATTGAAATAGCTTTCCGAACCAAACAAGTGATAACATAATTTTCCAATCATAAAATCGTGTAACCATCCACGAATTGATGTATTATAACTTTCAATTTTCACTGCAATTAATTTTTTACGAATGTCATTAGCATACTTCGCTTTTTTCTCACATAAATCATTCTCTTGATAGTTTTCGCTAAGGCACATGATAACACAATCAGACTTATCTATTTGTGATGATGCTTCCTCGTCGGATAAATCAATCAGAACGGAAAAACCTTCATCCATTAGACGATCAGCAAGTCGTTGACATATAATTTGGTCTTGTGGACATGAGCTTAGCGTGATATTATAACATTTAGTGGTTGCCGTACTGGCTGATGGACGAAGGCGAGCTGCTGAACTTGGACGTGGAGTTTGTTGTACTTGAATCAGTTGTTTTAGTAACGTATCCATTAACTAAATGTAAAACACACTGATAAAGTTCTTATCGTTTATTCTGTTCTTGGCTAAACTGCAGATTAAGTTACAGCATGATTTTTGCAACAGAACTTACTATACGTGTATTTACTCTTTTTATAACATTTCTTTTTTCACTCATGGAGAATTCTTTTTGAAAAAACACTATCAGATACCTGATATTTTTGTTTGACTTGTTCTAACACGCTAGGTGGACCCCACAATTCCAACTGATTATTGTCCAACTTTTGAGGTAAGACACATCGATCTTTGCAATACTGATAAAAGGCATTGATCATCTGTTGATTCCACTGGTGAAATACCGTCACCCCGTCCTTAAATTGTAATTTTAATTTAGTCATACAATGTTCCAGATAATATATGATTTTCCTTTGACATTTTACTAACGAGTCATTGCTTGAAGACTGAAGAATAACATTAATACCTGGAATCAAGAAAAAAAGGATGAGAGAATATAGCTTACAGCGCGTGTGTAAGCTACTTTAGAGACTGTCTGGTTTGTCTGGTCTTGAAAACCGAGTGAAGACTTATTTACTAACAGGTGTCTGTTTCCTGTTGTTTTTTTCTAGTCAGCTCCAAGGTCAGAACAAGAAAGTGATACTTAAGACCAGATCAAGAGAGTCTGTTTTTTTTACTGATATGACAAACAGTAAATCTTGCTCTGATCTTGGCATTTTCTGAGAAACAGACACTGGCCAGGTTCAAGACCAGAGCTCGGTTTTTCTCATAATCACCGTTTTGTAAAGTCACATAGTCTATAGTGACCACCTTAGAAAAATTTCAGGCTTATTCTCCTAGAGGGTGAGTAATTTCTTAAAGATTTCTGTGCTGAACAAGAGATATCTAACGACATTCCTAGTCTGATGGTTACATTGGAAGGTCTCCAGTTTCTGCTGCTTTTTGCGCAATATGAGCGAGCAGTGCACCTAATTTTTGCATGTGTACAACAAGCTCGCGATCTTGATTTCTTCCACTAATCAGGAGAAAAAGAGACCCTGGTCTTGATTTCTTTTACTGATCAGGAGAAAAACAGGCAAGGACATTTTTACTGACCAGACAAACTGCACATCCTCTAGGATACTGCTTACTTGCTGTTGACCAATCAAACTCGACGTTTGTTTGCATTGTATCAAGTTGTCCTGAGAAAGTCTTTTGCAATATGTATTGATCAGGTGATAATACAAACAATACGGTTAATGATGATGATTTTGCGATTTGATGCTTTGCTTCCATTAACATCATTTCAGCTACAACTTCTTCTTTTTCGTACACTTCTGGAACGGCAAATGCAATTGATTTACTTTGTAGGTGGGTAATGGCGTATTGTGTTGATTTTGAGATAAATACTTGTATTGACTTACGCAGGATGTCATCACTGCTGATGTATGTGCCTGATGGTGTCCAATTTGAAAACAGGATGGTTTTAGACGGTAATTTACCGGAATTCGTTTCGATGAGCGTGACAGTCGCTTTCTGTTGATTCTGATTGTACTTCAACGACTTTATATCAATACCAGCGCGTTCAATTATGTTCTCTCGTAAACCATTTGATGTTGATGGAATAATAATTGTATCGACCTAAAAATGAATAGTACTACAGTAGGATAAATGATTTTCACGTGTAGAGTAGAAAAATAAACCTTTTCGTCCGCGATATCACCAATAGATACGTTGATAGATCCGTTTGCCAACATCACTTTTTTAACGATATCTGTCGATCTGTACAGTAAATCAGATTGTTCTAGTATTGATTTTGGTGTTACAGTATTTTGTGACGTTGCTTTCGATATTGTGAACGTTTTTAATTTTGTTTCAAGGTCATATTTAGAAATATGACAGTTATTTTGATGAGCAATATTTTTCAATTGTTCACATTCTTTTTCAATCATCGAATGAAATAACTTGATAGTTTTAAATTCTTTAGTTTTTAAGCTCGATAATAAATCTTTAATTCGTAATTGGATTTTATCTTTTAAATATGATGGCGCAAGAAATTCTCGAGTGCTTATTCGTAAATCGACATGATCAGCTTTAAATTGTTTTTGAATTTCTTTTAATGCTTTTGAACAAGTATAAAGAAGATAGTCGACCTAAAATGAATGGAAACATGAGCTGTCAACGTCCTTATTCTACACTTTCTCATTCTCTCAGATCGTTTTGTTATCCAGTCAGCTCATCAGTTACCAATGCACTTAGAGGTTCCCTTTTGATATTTCATAGTACCACTAACTTGTGGTTGACTCATGTTGATTTTAGTTATTGTCAATTGATGTTTATCACATAAATTTTGAAATTGTTTTTTTAATTCATTAACTCTTTTATAATAACCAAATATGCGAATCTGTTGTTGTTTTTGTGTTCCTCTTGCTTTTGTTATATCATTATTTACAGGGATCATCGAAATAGAAATCATTGAGTCTGCTTTATGTTGTTCTGCATCTATTTTCGTTTTCAGTTCGTTGAAAAATTTTTGTGTTTGTTGACGACCTAACAATACGTTAATTGTGTCTTCGATGATATTCTTGTTAATGAATTCATCAATATCATTAATTTTAAATGGAGCCATTTTGTATTTAAAGTAATGAATTTTCAATTTTTGAACATCCATAATTTCACAAATTATAAATTCTTTTTTATGATCAATAATTCTTGAAATAATATTGACTGCTGATGAATGGTTTCGTAAATAAGCTTGAACTAAAGTATCACATATAGTTATGTATTCATATTAGAAGCAGGGCGCAAATTTTATACCTTTTTCATTGTCAAAAACTTTTGTTTTAATTGATGCCAATAGGTTTTCTATTTGATTATGAACATAATCTATGTCTTGTTGAGATGTAGTAGAAATTTGAATAGTATAACCGTCATCAACTGATTTCTTCTTTATTTCAATTTGTACAGAGGGATTCACAGTTTGCAAATATTTTTGTAATTCTAAACAAAAGTTTGAAATTTTAAAAAACTGTATGCGAATATGTTCACCAACAATAAAATAGCCATTAAGCAAAGGTGACGGCAATGGTGGGGATAGCGATCGAAGCTTGGATAAATGTTCTTTTTCTTCTGTCATCGTGTCTAAAAAGAAATAGAATACAGTTAGTCTGCTTCGTACACAAATTTCTTTTTCTGCACTAGCGATAACCAGTTCTCTGCACCCACTTTCTTTCTTTACGTAGCATAAAAAATTATGAGTGTTTAAAAGGGATTGTTCGAAAAAGCACCATAAACTACGTCACACATAGCCTTTATAAAGTATTTTTTCTCAATGGTTTTCGGTTATGAATCTTGATGTTGTATTTTGATCCGCGTATGTGTACTGTCCCTTAAAAATTGATTAAATAGTAACAGTAGATGATTTTAAATTCATATTTATTTAATAAAAATTCAAAAATTTTTAAAAAACAAGAAGTCGTCGTTTCGAAAATTATGATTTTCACTTGCAAAATAAAATCTTTGATATGATGTAAAGTTGGAATTAATGAGTATGACAGAAGAACTAAAGAGAGAAAGAAAAATACATATTTATTTTTCATATAAGAGTGAAAGGAATAGACATTCTTTGTGAGAGTGAGAGAAAGGAAAATAAATTTTGTAAACCATCGAACACCCACTGGAAAAAATTTCAAATGCGTGTTTTACACGTTCTACGGAGATCATGAAGAGAAAATTTCTGAGATGACACGCGCAAGATTGCTTTGGTTTTCGCGAGATATTCCCAGTTTTTTTCAGACAGCCGTTTATATTTCTAAAATAACTCTTTTCATATTATTGGAAATCAGTCACACAGTTGCATTTTTTGTTTTAATACTAAATCTAGCTAAAATAAATGAATACCTTACTTTTGAGACATACAAGATGCAAGTTTTCAGCTACACGTTAAAAGATTTGTTTTTACAAACCGACCTTTCCAATATTGTACATTGAAATTTTCAAAATTTACGGAGAAAATCTTCAAAAGAGAAAAATTTTCATTTAAAATTTGAATGAGTAATCTAAGTAGTAAGTAAACTATCTAGAGATAAATCAGATGGTCTCTTTCTTGATTTTCCAAAACGTCTCACTTTTCTAATGGACACGAAATATTTAACATTTTCTTTTTTAATCCTTTCTTCTACAGTTCCGAATAAATGACGTCAAAAGTGTCGCATGAAAAGGAGAGAAATTCAGTATTTATAATTTGTGAAGACAGTTTAAAGCATTATACTTATTCACGGGTAATTTTGTTGTAATTCTAATTTTAATTTTTAAGAAAATAATAAAATCGTTGATATGACGCAAAGTTGAAATTAATGAGTATGTCTGAAGAACTAAAGAGAGAAAGAAAAATACATATTTTATTTTTCATGTAAGAGTGAAAGAAATAGACATTCTTTGTGAGAGTGAGAGAAAGGAAAATAAATTTTGTAAACCATCAAGAAGTTTCTTCCAAGAAAATTTCTGATTTTCCATTTTTCACAAGATATTCCCAATTTCTTTTTAGCAAGCCATTCATATTTCTAAAATAACTCGTTTCAGATCAAGAAATTTATGATGACTTTTATTAGCTTTTATCTATAATTAGGTACTTGAAGTGTTATTTTTCTTTGCTCGTTGATTTATTGTGTATTTTGAAATTTTGAAGGACACTTATTTTTATTTTTCTTCTATGTTAAAAAATGTAATTTATATTTAATCGCTACAGCATTCTTCGAAGACTTCGATTCCTTTTTTTCTTTCTTAAACAAAAGCTTTCTCTCTCTTTCTCGCTGTGATCATTCTCATCTCCTTTACTATGATATACGTTTAAAAATCATTCAAAGTAGCGTCACCACGTCAAAGGAAAAACTTATTACACTGAGAAACGATTAAAAAATCACTGTAAAGCAGTAACCCTCTCTCCTCCCTCCCGCATAATAGAAGACCGTCCCATACTGGAAGACCACTGCCGATTATATGACTTGAAAGCCAAATAGAACACCATTGTCTTCTATGTCCCAGAAGGCGACTGATCTTCTATTATGTCCTATTTGCCCACTGAAGAGCAATTTTCAAAAAATTTCGTCGAAATGTTTTTCTAATAGGGGATGGACTTCAAGTATGCGAGGGTCTACCGCTGCACTACTAGCAGACGACAAAATTTGACCGCTCTAGAATTTGACCACCTTTTAAAACTCGATTTGCCGGACAAAATAGAAGACCTAGTGGTCTTCTATTATGTGGAGGATGTTTTATGAATGAAAACCGTTAAGTGTATCGTAAAGCATTCGTAAACGAAGATCAATACGTAGAAAAGATATCTTTTATAAGCAAGTAGAGAAAGTCTAAAAACGTTTGTTGTATGAGACCGTCTACTGGTAATAGACATTAAACAATCTGCAAGGGAGCAGCTAAGGTATTAGACGAGAGGTATTAATGATAATTAGTCGCAGTACGGTCCAGGATTTTGTTCTTTTATTTTCACAACAGAATGTGTTGTTATACTGTGTTATTCTGCACTTTTTTGTTGTTTGCCTAATTTATCACATTTTTTTGGATGCTTTCGTAAACTAAAACTAAAAAAGCGCAAGAAAAAGAAGAATGTATAATAACGTGAAGAAATGAAAGTAAACTGGTAAAGTAAGTGAGTGAGTGAACGGTATAGCCATTGTACCATTTGGCAAAAGATGTCAAAGAATAAGTTGCTTACAAAAACATGTTTCATGCATTGGGTTCAGTTTTATTAGATCAGGTGTTAATCAGAAAACCTTTTTCTCAACACTTTATACTCAAAACACGTTTCGGTATCAGAACTCGCTCAATTCCCGAGGTAAGTGGGGAAAAATTCGGTTATAGTTGAGGAAAGTAATGAGTATTATACATTAACAAACAGATTTCGATGCGCCGACTCCACTGGGGTAAATTTTGCAACTTTATTCTCCAGATTATTGGATAAAAAATGTCGAAAAGAATAATCTATAACCATTTTGACTGTAAGGTTTAACAGTTATAAAGCGCACTAGCGAAACTAATACTTTTGAGCTTCGCTGCTGGATAAAGCACACTCAGACGAATCGAGTGGTGTATAATCAGTTGAATTTTGTTTCTGTTCTCATTGATAATAAGCCTTTAAAAAATTTACCCGATATTTTTGCATATTTTTCAAATTTCTCTCCAGGATTCAATATTTCAGGTGCCTTTTTTTACCAAATATCAAATCTCATGAGGTCTAAAAGTGATTAAAGTTTTGATCTTGATCGGAGTATTATTTATCGAGATATTGAAAAAAATTGAAAATCACACCGGATATTTTGTGAGAAAAGTCTCAATTTCTAACAATATAATACTTAGGGCAGTCAATAAATAACGCTTTTTAAACATTTAAAAGAAAAGAAAAGATTTCTTTTTTAACTTTTATTTATTTCATGTTCAAAATAATCCCCTTTAAATTTTATGCATAATTTCATTCTCTCTACCCATTTTTGGAAAGTCTTAAAATACTCCGATTTAGGTATAGAATCGAGTATTGCCGTTATTGATGTGGCTAGTGTTTCAACATTTGGCTGCTCCTCCAGGCGATCCTTGATGTATGAGTTTAGCCAGAAATCACAAGGTGCCAAGTCTGGGGAATACGCTGGATGGTCCATTATTTCGAAATCGTGCTCTATCAAGAAGTCAATAACTAACCCATGTACATGAGGTTTGGCGTTATCATGATGAAATTT